TTTAGAGAATTGTCTGTTCATGTATTCTGCCCATTTTTTATTGGATTATTTGGGGCTTTTTGTGTTGTGTAAGTTCTTTATGTATTTTGGATATTAACCCTTTATCTGATATGTTATTTGCAAATATATCTCCCATTCAGGAAGTTGTCTTTGAGTTTTGTTGATTGTTTCCTTTGCTGTACAGAAGCTTTTTATTCTGATGTAGTCCCAATAGTTTATTTTTGCTTTTTGCTTCCTTTGCCTGAAGAGGCATATCTAGAAGAGTGTTGCTATGGCCAATGTCTGAGAAATTACTGCCTGTGCTCTCTATTAGGATTTTTATGGTTTCAGGTCTCATATTTAAGTCCTTAACCCATTTTGAGTTTATATTCATGTATGATGTAAGAAAGTGGTCCATTTTTATTCTTTTGCATGTAGCTGTCCAGTTTTCCCAACACCATTTGTTGAAGAGACTGGATTCTAATTCTTAGAAGGACTTTTTGGTAATAATGGTAGCTACATGGCACTTACAAAAGACAGGGATTGCATAGTAAGAGCATGTTCATACAAAATTGGACTGAGAATGATTATGAAGTTCCTTCCTCAAAATAAAATTTCTGAATAAATAATAAGCAGTATCAGAAAGCAGCTGATATTTTTGTTTTTTCCCTGCTCAAAATCTCTGATACTACCTGTTTTCATCACTATGGTTAGCCACTCTGTTTCCCTTACCATTTTATCCATTTCCCTAGTGGTAAAAGCATAAAATCATGACAGGCAGACAAAACTATGGAGACAGAGAACAGATTAGTGATCACCAGGTGACAGGTATGGGTGGGAAGGGTACAATTAAAGGGGTAACACAAGAGAGTTCCTTTGGAACAGTTGTATATTTTTTTTATTATTATTTAAAGATTTTATTTGAGAGGGGGAGAGAGAGAGCATGAGCAGGGATAGGAGCAGAGGGAGAGGGAAGGGAAAGAATCTCAAAACAGACTCTGCACTGAGCATAGAGCCTGACGTGGGGCTCCATCCCAGGACCCTGAGATCACGACCTGAACCAAAACCGAATCGGACGCTCAACCAACTGAGCCACCCAGGTGTCCCAGAACAGTTGTGTATTTTAATGGTGGTGGTGGTTGATTGAATCTAGCCATGGGATAAAATTGAATAGAACTAAACACACACATGAAGGCATGTAAAAGAAAGGTGAAAACTGAACAAGGTCTGTAATTTCCTTAATAGTACTTTACCAATGTCAGTTTTTGGTTTTTGATATACTACAGTTATGTAAGATGTCAGCATTGGGGGAAGCTGAGGGAAGCATTCACAGAACTGTGTACTATTTTCACATCTTTTTGTGAACCTATAATTATTTCAAAATAACAAGTTTCAAACTTATAATAGACAACAACAACCAAGTCAAAGTATTTTTTTTTTAAAGAAATGAAAGAGGTAGTCTTACGAGCAAGCAGCCCATCATAACGAGCTTTCCCCTAAAGGTAGTATGTATGCTATTTCTTAAAAGTGAGCCAAAACATGCAGTTCTTGCCTCTGATTTAAATGTTAGGCAGTTAAAAAAAAAATGGTAGCCAGGTACTAGATTAAAATGTGGTTAATGAATGCACATTGCAAAAGGAACACACTAACTTTCATAAGGGTGTGTGTAAGTATAGGCAGTAGATCTCTGGTCAGACTTCATTTCATGTACATTCTACCTTTGTCTGTCTGTGCTCTGTCTGGTTCACCAGTGTATTTGCTCATGAACTTGCTTCAAACAGTTTGTAGAACAGAATTCTTCTAGATAGCATCATTGTTATCTTTAAAAAAAATCACTTATTACATGTACATCATAGGAAGCTTTGGAAATACAGATAAACAGTAGAAAAAAAATACCTCTAATCCCACCACTCAGAAATACTGTTGATATTTTGTATATATAATTCTAGTCTTATTATTTCTGTGCATATAAATGCTTTTTAAAAAATATATGAGATCATAATTTTGTAAACTTGTTTTACTTATTATGTAGGTACGGCAATGCACCATTTTCCCAGATCATTAAATACTTTTCGCCCACGTGATTTAATGACTACATAGAATTGTACCCTGTGGATGTACAGCATCTTAACTAAACTTTTGTGATTGGACATTTAGGCTGTTTCCAGTTTTCCACCATTAGAAACAATATTGTCATCAACATCCTTAAGGCTAAATCCTCATACACAGTTGTGATTATTTCTCTTAGGAAAAAGTCTCAGAAGTGAATTGCTGGGGTAGGCAAAATGTCAACGCTTTTGCTTTTATTGTCAAAGATAAGCATCATTTAAAAAAATTTGTTGTAAACAAAAACTTTATTTGAACAACAAGAAGCTTTACCTACAGGGAAACTGAGGATCAGTTTCTTTAGAGTGATTCCTCACTTCTTAGAGGCAACTGCCATTACCAGATAGATGAATTGTTTTGACAGAATTAAAAGGAAAACATTGAAACTATCTAAATAAACAAATTATGCAAGAATTTTTTTGCTATTTTTTATTTTTGTTAAACAGTGAGAGCAAAATAATTTACTTGAGTAAAAGAAAACAAATGGAATCAACATGCCACTAGTGGGGAATGAAGTATTTACATTTCTCCCACTTCCCATTTGATATTGATTAAAGTATATTTTTGGTTATTTAGTTTTTAAGCATTACAACTATGCACATATACCACCTTCTTTACATACAGTGAAGGAATAGGGTTAAAAAAATTTTATGGGAAAAACGCACTATAGTAGTTGTAATGTTGCAGAATTCTGTTGCATTTTTCTAGTTGTGAATGTCCTGTTCATGGGCAAGAGGGGGCCTGGTTCTGGATTAAAGATCATTTTTGATTGGACATCTGTAGTATTTTACAGAACACCTCAGTTGTATGTTTTTCTGCATTTCCAACTGAGTGAATATGTCACTTTGCTTGTTTAGGTAACCATCAAAACACAATCTGATCTTTCTCATTGAGAAGCCAAATCCTTAACAACAGGTTTTCTTTAATTTATCAAGTGAGGCTCCGTCTTGTGTGTTGCCAGCTTCAGATAATTATGTTCATTGTCTTCAGCCTCAGCTCCTTTCTTGGACTTTTCATTGGTCCCTACTTTATGGAAAGCTGCTAGGTTGACACAGAAGGAACACAGATCACACCAAGAAGAGTGGAAACAAGCCTTGGATACTTTTTAAATAAAAAGTCTGAACTTTAAAAGAAGGTCTGAACTTTTAAGTAGAATGGTATTATCTGTAGTTTTTATTACCTTCCAATAACAATCAATGAGTGGAACCTAGTAAAGAAGATATTTGATTCTTGGATTAATTTCCCACACCGGGAAGCAGTTAAATGTTTAGATGTTGGAAAAGCAGCAAGACAAATCCATGAGTATTTGACATTCTTTTTTTCTTCTTAGTCATAAGCACATCATTTTACACTATGCATATGGTGGTGAAATTTTGTTTGAATATAATTTATGAGATGAGGGTTACAAAGGCCTCTTTCCCTTTAGTTCTGTGTTGGTATTTTCTATGATTATTAATTTTTTATCAATGGCATTGAAATTTCCTTCAAAGAGAAATTCCTCTTGCTGGGATTGGTGATAAATACTTATTACTGGATTAGGGATTGTTTTTCTTTTATGACCTTATTTTCCTCTGTGGCTGTCTGTTGGCTAGTTATGGGACTTTCCTTTTCATTCTTACTGTAATGTAATTTTTTTAAGTTTTAATTTAAATTCCAGTTAGTTAACATACAGTGTTATATTAGTTTCAAGGTGAACAATATAGAGACTGAACATTTCCATACAACACCCGGTCTCATCATTAACAAGTGCACTCCTTAATCCCCATCACCTATTTCCCCAATCCCCCCACCCACCTCCCCTCTGGTAACCATCAGTTGGTTCTCCATAGTTTAGAGTCTGTTTCTTGGTTTGTCTCTCTCTCCTTTTTGCTCCTTTGTTTTGTTTCTTAAATTCCACCGTAATGTAATTCTTTTGAAGTTGAAAATAGCCCTGTGAAGAAACTGGCAGAGCATTCCAGGTGGTAAGAGCTTCTCCAGCCTAGAGTGGATTTTGCTGCCCTGGGAATGGTCTGAATTAAGATGGCATTTCTCTGTCATAGCATATTTGGTTCAGTGTTAAAGAAATACTATCCAGTAGGAAATAGGGTTATAATTTAAACACAAATTTTTCTCTGAAAGAGACTACCCTCTTTGAATTTATCCATTCTCAGTTGTACCCTGTAGTTTTATTTCCCTTTAAACTAATTATCTATATCTGTTACCCACTCCCACCTCTCCGTGTGAAATTTTCTGTACAGACTGAGAGGAACTGTTTCTTGGAGAAACAAATTAGGCTTTATATGAATGAACAAAAATTGTATAGATTTCTAAAGATTTCACATATATATCCTTATATATAAAGATTTTTCATGTATGTTATATATAATAAATGTGTTACCTTTTCAACAAAAAACTGAATATGAACTTCTTGAAATTTAATGCAAAGGAAATCTGGTTTAAATCTGACCATTAAAAAATAATTTATTTAGGTGTGTTTTTTTTTTTTTTAAAAAGATCCAGGTAATATTTTTTCTTCACATTAGTATTTCATACGCCTGTTGAGAACTTTTTATGAGAGACATAGAGGTCCTTAATCTGCCTTTTATGATATCAAGGGCATTCCTGTAACATTTAAATTTATAGCTATTGTCTGATTAATTAAGCTCAATACATGAAAATCCATGTCTTAAATAGAAGATGATTGCTCAAGAGTCAGGCTGGTGGATTTTAAACGTGAATTATTCACAAAAATATGAATTACCCTTAGTTTCACATACTACCCTGCTACATAAGAAGCAGCTGTGTATTGTATGCATTAAAATATTCTTAATTTATGCTTTGTTAGACTTACATGATTAAAATGCTAGTGGATTAAAAATAATTGCTCTTTATTTCTGCAAACTTCTAAGAGTTTCTACTTTCTTTTTCTCTAACAGATATAAGCTTACCAAAGTCGGCAACAATATGCTATACAGCTGCCTTGCTCAAAGCAAGGGCTGTCTCTGACAAGTAAGTGGAGAATGGCTTGGGCGGTACTAAATGTCTGACCCGACTGAAGGAGGTGTGTTGCCTCTGAGGGCTTTCTCTGGAAGTTTCTCTTAGTCTTTGAGACCCCTGCTTATGAGCATGCATTTTCTAAAACCTGCTGATCTTTTCTTTCACTACTAGAAGGAGGGAATATATATCCCCAGGTTTTGTAAGGGTGTGGTGGGTCCCTAAAGAGGGATTTATGTGAAATTCCATACCTCTGAGGTGACTTTTTTTTTTTTTTTTTTGCCAGACAGTAGATACCGAAAGGCCTGCTTGGGACTTACACAAAATGCCTTCCTTTTATTCATTTTTTTGCGTATTCCTCTTCCTTCAGCAGTCCAAGACTGGGTAGTAGTCCTAACAAACACGTGAGATGCAGAGGGGTTGATCATCTCCCATTCTTTGACTCCTCAGTTCCCAATTAACCCCCCACCCAGGGTCCATTTGCTTTGAGTTGTCATCTCAGTGGGACATTTGCCCCTTTTATTCAGGCAGGTGACTTTGGCATAGAGAATTTCCATACACATCCGAGATGACTGGCAGGTGAAAGAACAGTTGGCTTCACTGTTCTTGAGTTCACAAATGCTTACGTTTCCCCAATACAATCCCTCTGAAGCACTGAAAAGCAGATAACAGGAAAAGAAAACAGCCTCTGCTCTGTCAGACAGGTTTGCTGTTAAGTGTGTGTGCACTTCAAGACCGAAGTAATTTTCTTTCATTCTTTTTTATCCTGTAGATCGCCAGTACCTACTGCAACATCTTTTCTCCCTACACAGCGACTCCAGCTTGGGAGGGCAGGGCCAGGGTTGTCACAGCTTCCCCTGTGGTGTCTGCCTGCCAAGCACAGCTCTGGAGTTAGCCCTGGGTGTGAGGTGAGAAAGAGATTGCATGGTCTGGTTTTTTTCATTCACTTGGGCAGGTGTCCCGCCCGCAGTTTGGGCACGCACACCCCCCTGCCGGAACGGCCCCAAGCAGGCTGGCCTGTGGTGGAAGCTGCATCGCAGCACTGACATTGGGTTGGGAGCCTCCTTTAAAATTCTCCCCAGTTCTGTTTTTAACCACGTACGCTCTTCTGTAACCTAGTTTTCTCTTTTTCCTACACTGTCTGCCCTCGTCAGTCCTACCCCCTCCCCTGACCTAAGCAGGTACCTCATAGAAAATTTAGACTAGCTATGTAGACAGAGAGACTTGACAGCTGAATTTAATTCCTGCCAAGATTAGATGCAAGCACGCTTTCTGCTTCTGCTGGGGTTTTTGTTGGCCTCGGTCTGAGGGGTCACTCAGAGGTTCCGTGTAGTGGAGGTTTGGAGAGCTCATGCCATTGGCTCGCTGTGGTTTTATGGGCCCTTGACGTGTAGACGCCTTTCCGGGTTGATGCCCAAGCAGTGGTCCCAACTGGATGGTGTTTGTCTTTCTGCTTTTCAGATTCTCTCCCGAGGCTGCATCTCGGCGGGGGCTGAGCACAGCAGAGATGAATGCAGTAGAGGCTATTCATAGAGCTGTGGAATTCAATCCTCACGTGCCAAAAGTGAGTCTGTGGAATCCCCACAGGAACTCGTTATGATAGCAGAGAGTGTTCGGTGACCACAATGTCATGTCTCGAATACACCCAGTATAAAAAAGTGAATTGCGGCCAATGAACATTGAGGCCCTATATAGTCCATGGTTAGCTTCATTTTTAAGCAAAAACTACATTCAATAGGCTTTGTGCCGATTTGGGGGCTTTCTATAATTGGGGTAAATTGATAGACCTGGCTTAGGCAGGTCAGGCCAGGAAGCCTGAAATTGGCAAAATACAGAGATCCCAAGAGTATTGATGCATTTGATAGGAATTTCACACCAGTTACAATCTTACTTAGACCCAACTCGGGAAATGAACCTGGTTTTGAATATAAATGGTAAAAAAAAAATACTGATTAAGACGTTCTGAGTGCTTTGTGAGTGCCATTTTAGGAGGAATATGTAGTAGGAAATGTTTATCTTAATTGTTAACCACATGATTGACCAATTTATAAATACCCAGTATTTCCCATATATTTATTTTCCTGAATTTGATTTTAAAAGGGAGTCAAATCACGATAGAGGATATTTCTATAATCTTTTATTTAGGAGATGGATGTGTATTTATGATTTACCTATATTTGAATACCTGCTATGTGATAGGCACCTTGCTGAGTGCTATTTTCAGTTTCTCAGTGTTATAAAGCACATTTTGAGCTTTGGGAAACTATTCATACAGGGTACCACAGGCATAGATTTCTTTCAAATTTCTGAGGAAGACTTTCACTGGTGAAAAATGACAAAGGAAGGCTATTTTGTTTTCTTGCAGTACTGTAGCAAGAGGGTGGTGTATGTGTGCATGTATGTGTGTATGTGAGGATTTGTAGAGTTACCTACTTTAATTTATTTTGTTGATATTCACAGTGACAGAGATAGGTGACCTAACATCATTTCTGAGCTTTGACTCAGGTCATGCTCATTTTCTCACAAAACAGAATCTGAAGAATGGTGCACAGTGCCACAGTTGGTGAAGGATATAGTTATCCACTCTAGTTCCAGTGGATAATGACCAACATAGTACTTGTAGACTTAGGTATCATAGATAGCATGGTATAACATCTCTTTATTTAATGTATTCCTGGCTAGTTAAAAATGTTTGTTCAAATTTGATTAAAATTTAAAGCTAATCATGAAAATATTGTCCTGAATTACAGTCAACTTAGGTCATCAATTAATATCTATTGAATGCTATATTCAATACAGAGTTATTCTATGAGTATAAATAAGCTCTTCTAGAAGTAGCATTGAGCAGTAGAGTCCTAGAAAAAACTTGGGTTCAAGTTCTGGCTCTGTCATTTATTAGCCATGGGAGCTGGGGGCTTAGCATCTCTGAACTCAAAGCTTTCCCTCATTTTTTCAAATGACAATAAAAATATAAACCTTACCTTCTGTGATAAAGACCAAGTGAGATAATATAGTCAAAGTTCTTTGAAAAATTGAACATCATATGTTCATAAAATATTAAAATTGATATTGGACTTGTTGGCAGCCCCTCAAATCTGGAAACTGGGTCCTAACTCTTCCAGTTTTAGCAGAGCTTTGTAATCTTAGTGCATGAGATAGGAAACTGGTACTTGCTGGTTAGATATTTTAGTTGAAGCTGTAGTATAATTCTATGATAAGGGTCTTAAATGGTTGATTGAGCTTCTAGAAGAGTATTAAAAGCCCTAAGAAATAGTTTAAGGCTACCTAGGAAGAATTTGACTCAGTCAGCTAGCACTCTACCTGCAAAATAGAATTCTTTTTAGAAGTGGGAACATTTGAAATATTTGATTTCACTCTACTCTTTAATTGTTGACTGGAGAAAAGATAGGGTACATAGGTAAACCGATTCTCTACACTTTGCTTTGTTGGTGATTGTGCTGAGGGAAAACTTGTTTCTAGATCGTCTTCATCTATTGACATTTCCATGGGGAAAAGGCCCTGTGAATCACTGTTCAGAATTATGTCCAGAATTAACCACAAACCTCTGGTACGTACGTGTACTATTTGCAGGCTGTTATAAACATCCTTTATACATGACCTATTTATTGGGCTGCTTGCTAATACTTTAGTAAACACACACACACACACTGGTGCCTTTTCAGGCAGAAGGTAGGCTTAATTCTAATGAGACATCAGTGAAAGATATAAACTCTTAGACTCTTGGTGTAAGAAGGGAGCTCAGAGATCATCTAGGACACCTTCCCATCCTCAGCTTGAATCTCTCCTCATAATGATATCGTGATGATTATTTTTAATATTGGTTTTTATTGCATGTTTACTGTGTGCCAAGCACAGTACTAAGTGAACTACATATGCCTCTCATTTATTTTGCATAACAACACTGTGAGGTGTATCAGCCTATTAGCCCTGCTACACAGATGAGGGCACTGCAGGTCTGGAGAGGTTAAGTGACCTGCTCACGGTCACACAGCTAGTAAATGACAGAGCCTGAACTGGTTCTGGGTTCTCAAACCCTTCAATATCACCCTCCACAGCCCCCCCACCATCCCACCAAGTTGCGGACCAGCCTAGACTTGAAGCCTTCAAATGATGGCGGGCACGTGACTTCCCAAGGCACTCATGGACAGTTCATATTTCCTCAAGATACTCTCCTATTTTAAACACTTCCTTGCCTTCTTTTTCTCTATCACAGGAAGTCGTCAGTGGCCTACCACAGGAATTTTCAGCAACTACGTGCCGTTTTACCCAATTATAGTCTGTTAGAAGGAGAAAAAATACCAGATAAAATAGCTGAGAACTGCCTTCCATGAATGTCCAGCTTAGGTCTGTCTGGTATTCTATTAAGCAGAGGTACATAGTTAATATTTCAATATCCAGTGGAAAAATACCAATTATTTACTCCAGAAGGGTTACTCTTAGGAACACTCTTCACCTGCAAATGTGCAGAGTAGGGAGTCTCTCTCCTAAACACACTTCAGGACCAGGAAGTAAATAAGAACTAGTAAAAAGCCGTGGGCCTCTATTCTGAAGGGAGCCTTTTAAGTAGTCAGGTATATCTAAAACACAAGGATTTCTGAGGCTTTCGATTGCAGCAGATTATAAGGAGGAAGCAGCCCGTAGGCTCATTATTATAAACTGAATTGTGTGACTCCCCTCCTGAGGAACTGCAGCTGCGTCCCCTACCCTACAAAGGAGGATATAAACTACTTGAAAGGTTCTTCAACATCCTTTAAAATATGACCCAACTTGTTTTTCGGTTTTTCTAGCTACTTCCAACAGTCTGTTTATTATTCCAGAAACGTTCTCCTCCTCTTCCCTCTTTGCTTCCTCTGAGGATGTCCTACTCATCCTTCACCTCCACCATTAAAAGTCACCACCGGGAAACCTGTTCATTCCTCATCCCAGAATCAGTCTCTCCCCTCTGTGATCTCTCACTACCGTGAATTGATTACAGAATTACTCTTTTCCCCTTTTTGAGGATGACTAGTGGTTTTAGGATCTTAATGATGCTGCTGTTTTCTAAGAACTGGGTACATGGTTCAAAAAGATGAAATCTCTAAACCATTAGAGGATGTTTTCCATTTAATGATATTAAAATAAGAGCTTTGAATTTAAAGGGAATATTCTTCATTTTTTAAAGAAAATTTCACTTAAGTTACTGGACAAATGAAGGGCCATGCTCATCTCTGTTCTATATCTTCATCTGTATATTGTTATAGTTTATTGGATTTTTTTGTTTTAGCTTTTCCTTCTGCTTTCCCTGCAAATATGCTTCCCCACCTACCCTGACCTATTTTGTTTCCTTTGCAGCACAGGAGCCTTTTATTTTGATGTAGTCCCACTTGTTTTTTTTTTGCTTTTGGTGTCTATGCTTTTGGTGTCCTAGCCAAGAAATCATTAGCAATGTCGAGATTTACATGGGAGGATGGTGTTTTTCTCTCAGTGATTCATCACTCTGCAAGGATCACTAATGCTACATACTCTTAGTAGGCTGTATCTACACTGCAAGTCTTTCCCTGTGAAGAGACCCCTTTTCGGTTTGGAGGATGTTTCATTAACTCCTTCGGGGTGCTAAAGATAAATTTCATTTTCTGACACATTTCCAAAACAAGACTAACTTACTGGTTTGTTACAGACAGTATTAGATTTTGTTTTTTCCCTCTGTAGTGGTGGTATAAAAATAAATTTCTTTCTATATTAGAAGAAAGTATAAAGAAATTTTTCATAGTCCTATCATCTAATCCGATTTAAGACTCTTTCTAGCCTTATTTTCCCATGCATTTTTAATACTTAGGAATCATAGTCACACAGCATATACATTTTTTAAAAAATTAACCTGGGGCTCTAAACTTGAATTTTGTGGTTGGGTATTGGGGGGTATATTTATTTTTTTTTTGGAGGAGGATCATCAGATTTTCATGGTTCTTTGACCTTAAAAAGGCTATCTTCTAACTTAACATTAAAGTCCAAGTCTTTTAGCCCTGTGCCTTCAAACACTCTAAAATATTCTCAGTAACTGTTTTCTGGATGATTTACTTCCCTTATTTTTTATCATAAATAATACATATCATGAAATCTACCTTCTTAATAAATTTTTAAGTATGAAGTATAGTATTGTTAACTGTATGCACGTGGTTGTTAGAACTTTTTCATCTTGCATGTCTGAAACCCCATACTCTTTGAACCAGGACCTCTCCATTTCTCCCTCCTCCTCCCAGCCCCGGGTAACCACTGTTCTACTTTCTGCTTCTATGAGTTTGAACACTTTAGATATGTCACATTGGTGGAATCATGTAGTATTTGTCCTGTGACTGCTTATCTCACCTAGCATAATGTCCTCCAGGTTCATCCATGTCACAGCACAGGACAGGATTCCTTTCTGTAAGGCTGAATAATATTCCATTGTGTGTGTATATCACATTTTCTTTATCCATTCATCTGTTGATGTAAATTTAGGTTGTTTCTACTTTTTTGGCTATTGTGAATAATGCTGCAATAAACATCAGAGAGCAAATACCTCTT